GTAACAGGTTAGTTCCAAATGAACTCATTATGTGTAACATATCTTTCTTTGACCGTCGCTAATTTGTTTTAAATATTTTAAAATGTTATGCAGCAAATCGTTGCATTTTAAATCCAACCATTTTATTGATATTTAAAAGAATTCTTTTAAGTTTCAAAGTATATATCTATGTCTCCTGAGAAATGATTTTTGAATTTAAAAATCCACACAGAGAAAACAAGGTAGATAAGACTTTAAATGCCGGTATTTACTTCACACAAAGCCTTAAAATTTATTTGTCTTTTTTTTCCACGAACAAGAGATTGGAACCACATAGTACAGACAACGATAGTAGAAGCCTTCGGAGTTTTACTGTGGGCTCTTGATTATCACGATATACAGAGGACTATCCACAATACACTTATACGACTTTTGAAGGGCCAGCTGACCCCCCTGACCAGATAATTATTCATTGGAGCTTGGAACTCTTATTGTTTTCCATCCAAAACTTTCAGGTCCTGGCCTTTCTGACATATAATATATATAAACGTTATGACCTCGTGAAGTACCAAATAAAAAATATATAAACGTGGCAATATAAAGAGACCTTTTCCTATGTGAGGTTAAAGGTACTAAACACAATTTCTATAAAATTTGTTAAAGGTAAAGAATGTTGTCCCACCGTTTGCAATCGTTATGTACTATCGACGGTTCATCCATATTACGCTTACGCTATCCACGCCACCTAACGACTGAAAGACGAAAGTTGCGTTATATTAGAACTTCCAATGCAAGTCTTTATTTCTGCCAGCCCAGAGCACACCTTATTCACTTTTCCCTATCTTGTAATAAATTAAATGTAAATTAAATGTTTTTTGTTTGTTCAATCAATATATTTACTGATTCTGTACAAAATGATACATGGCTAATTCATGTAATTACGTTACAATTTTGACCCTTGCCTAAATATAATCTAGATGACATACAGAAAATTAATTGAAAAGAATCTCTTTAGTTTTCCTACTTTAATAATTAATCATAATAACTCTTTGAGTGGAGGTTGAATTGGAAGTTCTTTTTCCTGTTGAACTTGCGCCGTCTCCATCAATATTATTTGGTTAGACCTGTAGAGTATCAATTGCTATGAGTTAGAATCCCAAAGCGATGTTTTTACATAATTTTGGATTATCATACTTACACAACTTACAGCTTACACAACAAAATAACCTATGCGTGCTGTGCGTGCTGTGCGTAGATTTACATGCTGCAATCTTGAACTTCATCGCCCCCACCTAAATACTAATGAAATGCAATAAATTGTCTTTTCAAGGTGAAAAGAAATGTTACCCTTGGCATGTAATTGGGGGTAGAAGCAGGTGTACCGGAACACGTCTCTTTGACTGGGTCATTTTCCGTATCATCGATGACAACCTAGCTTCATTGCCATTAACATCAAACAACCATTTACAACACTGCAAGTCATCAGGCTAACAACCAATACTGCAATAAGGTTATCGGCTTTCGCTTGCATTTGCATGATGGAGGTCTCCAGGAGCACAAGAGCAGTAAGGACGTAAGGAAGGTAATTGAAGAGTAATATGTAATAAACTGGATTCATCATTACGTTTTATGCAAACCTTAAAACTTACTCTGCACCTTTGTAGAAAATTGGACTAAAGAGAAAAATTATATTGATATTGAAGGGAACACTGCGCCACTTTAAGTTGGAGTTATATTTGCTTCCATTTATTCGTCTTTTAGATTTACAACAAAAAGCATTATACAACACGAAATGTAACAAATAGGTATGACGACAGGCTCTTCGAAGCTACGACTTCTTTTTGTTTCGCATTAGATACATTTGTAAGCTCGTCGTTCATCGTTGTGTGATGTTGTACTCGATGTTTTATTTCTGAAAGCTCTAAAAGCATTTGAAAAGTCATCCATAAGGATGTTACACTGGGCTTAAGATTTAGTTAGATTTTGCGAAAACACTGCTTTATTCAAAGAATAAAGTCAAGCATGTTGCCATCTAACACAATGATAAATTCTAATATGTCGTCGCCAAATCTTATGAGTCTTTAGAAGAGGGATTTAAAATCTTTATTGCAATGTACATACAAGATGAAAGGTTGCTTGGGTAAAGCCTAGGACAGCCCTTTATCTCTTTACTAAGAGGAGGGTGCAAGGCAGGTAAGACAAAATGTTAAAAGTTACTATGTGCATCGAGCATTTTGGTGTGTTTTAATTCAAAATCATTTTTACACATAAAATTGCAAGTAACTTTTATACATATATATAAGAAAATGCGTTTTAGTGGTATGTTTAAAAAAAATCGAGCCTGTTACATCAGATTTATCTTCTACAAGAGAACAGCCCTGAAGTACTAGTACATTCTCAAGCTGGTGTGTAAGTAAGGTAGAATTTTAGCACAGAGAATGCCAAGGTAACCTATACTTAAATTGACTGATCAGCATACACACAAAAAATGAAATAATAAGACTACAATTCTCCATTTATTATTCCTTAACGCGTCTATCATTAGACAATGATACAACTAAACCCCCAGAGCCAATTTCCGACAAGCAATCAGGCAGAAATGGTACGTTTTCCATCTTACTGATAGTTGGTGACAAATAGGCCAATATGCCGCACACAGAGAAGCGGTTATTACCGGGATTCCCATTGTGTCACACCTGCTGATAGTGTCTGACAAACAGGGCACTTTTCCTCGGGCAACTCCATCATACAAAACTACTGGGGAAATATCAGCTATAACCTGCTAGCACCATTAAACTCCGCGTTTTAACTTTAATGGAAGTGCATCTATTTAGCCACTCAAGGGTCATAACATTCCTACATTCCTGGAAACTGCTAATAAATGATATGGTAAGGACATGACCATTGTAGTATTAAAAAGGAACATTTCTTTGCCAAAAAATTGTTGTGTACCAATGACGGTTGCATTTCAATCATTCTGTCGATATATGGATAAGTACATTATACTTTATATGGGTATATAGAGGTTGTATATTATACTACCTCTACACTGCATCACTGCAATACAAGTTCACGTGCGTGTTGTCATGTACCTGTCTTTGTAATAGCAACTGCACCACCAAAAAGGTCACCATGTATCTGTCCTTTTCCCATGGTATAACGACTTTACCCAGGTCGGCATAGCTGAGTGACCAAGAGCGTGAGACCTATTAATAAACGGGCACCAGAGACTTACTGACTGATCTCCTAATAAAATATGGCGCCATGATTGCGCAAGTGAGAAAATTAGAACTAGTTTATTATGTTCAACTGTCTGGATATTTGGTACGATATATCGGACGACCGACCTTGCCAATGTGTTGGATGACTAACTCAATTTAGAACCAGAACGAAATGTTTCTGTCTAGACGGACGATTTGATAGGATGACTTAACTGTAAATACTAATAGATCATGTATGAGACGCTACAAATTCGGATGACCAATCAAACTGCAAAATATTAATTTTAGATATAAAAAGAAAACAAATTACATCATATTGAATCTTCAATTACATCTTATTTCCATACTCTTACTTTTAAGCAAAAGGTTGTTCATAAATTACTCTTACCATGCTGTCACACATTCTAAAATTTGTATTGAAATCATAAAAATTAACATAATTCTTAGATTGATAAATACAGCAGAAACATCACCATCCTAATCGCCTTTCCTTTTCAAGAATTATCAAGTAACAATGAAGGACATTTTCGTTACAAAAACTAATGACATTCATTTCTAAAAAAAAGTCGGCTTCCACGAGCTAAGTGTGAAAGCGCCAAAGTCTATGTAGTGACACCCTACGGTCTGGGAATACGTAAGAAGGCTCGAAATTCCGGTGTCTGAAATTTTGTATAAAGTACTAGTTTTGAATAATTTATACGTGTTCATTCAATAGCATCTGTAGTCTACAGAGTGAATTAGAATCTTAGCCAATCTTTTGATTTTATGTCACGACAAGAACGATGAATTGTTAGTCACCACAAGACAGGCTCCTACTTGGAAAAATTGGAAATTGGAACTCTTGATTGGCTCCCGATATTTCTAATTACATGCAAAATTTCTGTAAAAGATATAAGGAAATAATTTTTTTTAAATTTGCAGGTGGGTATTAATGATATTTCGAGTCCTGCTTCAAGAGCGATCTCTTTTATTTACTTCCTGGGTCACCACAAAACAAGGCTCGTGGGAGCCACTTAAAATGTTTCGGGTTACAGTACAGCCTGTGAGGACAGGTGTTTGTTGACCTTAGACTTGAAGAGTTTAAGGTTGTACTCATAAGGGAAGCAATCACGAGGTAGCTTATCCCAAAGCGATGTTGTTCTTGGAAAGAAGCTTTCAGCGTGGAACTTCCTCCTAAGAGGTGGTGAATGGAGGAAGAAAGGCTGATTTGCTTTGGTGGAAGTGGCAAGACGTGTCCTTGCTGAGATACGAAGATTGATACGTGACTGGGTTTGCTTTTCCTCGAACCTGATGTGATTAGTCTGGGCGGCAACGCGTGGAATGCACATGGACGTAAACGTGTGGCTGGAGGGTATAAAATTAACTCCCAAACAATTTGCCGAAAATTACAAATTATAATACCTCCGTTGGGGTGGGTGCAGCTGACTGCCGTGGTCATGATTAAACGTTACTTTCGCGCTGCCCTGTAGGGGTCACGGCGTGCATGAAGCTTAGGTCACAATTACCGGTTGAAGGCCACAACCAGGCTCTGAAGTGGGGAGGAAACCGGCTGCTGTACGTGGTCATAATGAACATAACGTTTACGTTTTGAAAGTTCCTTAGTACGGCCCCCATTGTAGAATGTGGTACTACAATGCAAAGATCTTGGGGCACCTGGAAAAATTTGTTCCAAGCAGCTGACAAGGGATATGCAAAGAGCCTGGTGGACTGTCGGACAACGGGAGGGCATCTATCGTTTTGTTTTTGTTTTTGTTTTTTAATTGTGACCTAAGCATTAGTTACCGTGACTGATCCAACCTTTCAAGTCCCGGCCATGTCTTCGTCCTTGATTTCCTCATAGGTGTTTTGAAGGGAGGGATCTACGATTCCTGCAGGGGGTAGCTGTTGGAGATGTCCAATGACGTTGTTTCCGCCATGACCAGCCCTGTTGGAGACGCCCCTATCTGTTACAGCCTGCAGTGGTAGACCAGCGGCCACGTTGTTCAGTATTTCCTGTCGTCTTTTCTTACATCGGTTGTAGTGATGAACAATCCAGCCGAGAAGTAGAACGGCCAGAGTGCCACTTAGAACTGCAGCTGTCTGCTCTGTAAAGTAATATAAATATAACATTCAATATTCCACTACATACATGAATCATACAGCTGGAGCTGCTCAGTCTGAAACGGCCATCCAAGCTGTACACATACTATAGCTAAGAAAGTGTACCAAGTAGCCACTCTTCCGGACACTTGACCATACAGAAACAACAAATATTAAAGACACGGCCATGTGCATGAAGTATAGAAGATGGAAAATAATCGCACCAAGGCAATCCTAGTAAAGTGGAAGGTTGGCTGGCCAACGCTACAGACTTATTTCCTAACTTTGACAAGTAGGTTCCAAAAGTGTTTCCATATTCTGTAGACGCACGTACGGCACAACTATCAACTGTTTTTGTGTCACAACTTCTTTGTGTCACAATGTGTTGTTGGAAAACTAGTGAACAAAAATACAGAACAATTTTTCCAAATCTGAGAGTTATGTTTAACTTATTGTTCTCATGGCATCATTTTAGGATGGCCCCCTTGAACAGAGTCGCTCCCAAATAACAGAATATCAGAGGAATATTTAAAGAATCACCGATAACTGAGAGAATTTTGAACTTGAGCTACGGCCCCTGTACTGAAAATCAAGGGAAGGAACATGGCGGTTACTTAAAGCATCTGCTCGCTTCATTGAAATGTAAATCAAAACCCTCGTACCAACCCGCTTGCTTAAGCCGGCGTCTCAAGGCAAGAAAATTGCTCACCCGATAAGTCTGCGAGCTCTACAAGGACATTGGCTTGGTCATCGGGTTACAGGAGAAAATACGTTTGACTCTAGCTCTGGCAATTTTGAAATACATTCTGTGACCTTCTGGCAATCAACAAATTCTGTAAATGGTCCTGAACAGTGTGGTATCAGCTTGATCGGGGCAAAATATTTCAGAAAAGAAAAAAGCTCACTTTTCCAGAGAGTTGGAGTGGCAATGTTGTAGTAGAAAACGGTGGTCCGGTTCCAGTAGCTGATGGTAGCTTCTTCCGAACTGTAAGCCGTGGATGTAGAAGTGGTTTGTGGTTCTGTTGCTGTTGTTGCCTTTGTGGCAGCTTCTGTGTCAAGGGATGAAGGCGTCGGCAGAGAAATGTCTCTCAGGAATTGCCCTTTCCACTCACTCGGTGTGCTGCACTTCAGCACGTAGTTATGCCTCAGTCGAGTTATGAATTGGTCGGCGTTTTCTGGCACGTCAAGGATTATAACTACGCCATTCTGATGAAAATTGCAGTTTGACAACATGCATTTCTTCACCGTTTTGGTAAAAGTGTTCACGCAGCCATCCTTGCGATGGTCCGTCACACATTTCCGTAAACGACTGATCCAATGGATCTTACCGTCACAATGGAATGGGTTCAGCCATATATTGAGGTAAAATACATTTTGCGGTGGTTTTACGTTCAGAAACGTTTCAGGAACAGTGGCAATGCGATTAGAATAAAGAGCCAGGTGTGTCAGAGATCGAGGGAAATTCGGGTCGGCATCGATGTGTGAAATTTTGTTGTTATTTAGTGACAGTCGTACTATTTCTGGTACATTGGAAAAAGAGGACCATGGAAATGCAACCAAAAGATTATACGATAAATCCAGATTCGTAAGTGTTGGCATTTTAGGTATCACTGTCACCTCACTGATGTCATTAAAACTGAGTACCAGGCTCGACAGAGTGCTGTAGGTTATATTGTTCGGCATGGTCTTCAGCCTGTGCTTCGAACAAGACCCATCCGTCCAGCACGTGCTGGACGGGTTTACTTTTGCCATGTTTAATAAAAGCAGAATGGATACGGCAAGAAACATTTTGGTTAGAGCCATGTGAGTTTGGTATGATGATGAGAGTATACTGTTCAGCTGTTGTTTTCGAAAGTCAATACCAGCGATATATTAGCTAGTCTCGTCGCTTCTCGTCTCTTCTCACGTGGTTTTATTCTAGGCGTCTTGGATGCCTGGAATGATGCTGTACGACTTGTGATCTCGATCTCAAATTCCTGCATGAAGTAAAAGTGTTTTATTACTATTTGCCTTACATTGCTGCATGGAAAACTACATCAATATTTCAGACTCACACAAAAGATTATAACGTCGAAAATATTGGGTAAATGCAAGTGAATAAATGTGCTCAGTCCGTTAGCTAAGCTGCAATGTTTAAAAACATGTTCCTCTCAACTGAATACAGCTTAAATCCAACGTTTCGTAAAAGCGTTCAAACGCATGTGTTCTGTTGTCATCCTTTCAATTTGCGTTACGCTATCCTGGTGAATCAGCTATGTACGGGTTTCAGTTAGCTCTACAGGGCGGCAGTAATTAGCAAAAAACGGCTGCTGCGATTGACTGCCCGGTAAAAAAAACAAAGTATATTCGGCCGGCAGAAACACTTGGTCATAAGGCTGGTGTAACCAGACAATATCTAGACTCTGGGAAACCCTGTTGGGCAATGCAAAGCCTGATGACGTTTGAAATAAACGGTCGCTCAAATCTAAAAAATTCGAAAGAATAACAGGAAAATACTTGTACCTGTAAGTTTTCCCTTCTTTCTAGATCAAGATGCTTACATCGGAGAAAAAAATTCGAACAGACTTCGTCTTGCTAGGATGTTCGTAAGGTACAGTATCTTGCTGTCGTCTCCTTCCCCTTCCAAATACAATATGTGAATATGTACGAGACCTTGGTGACGTGCTTCTCATTGGTGGAAGCTGCTGGTGATGTGATTGTCTGGGTACTCTAGATCTAAAGCATGTTGCTGAATACTTCAACAGTGGCCAGCAAAGGTTTGTACACAGGGGCGCTTTTGAGTTTTTTTTCCTCAGAATTGTCTGGCAGGTAACTCATGCTCAACTGCGAATGGTGACAATAAACTGTGGCGAAGAAAATGAAAAAAATATATGTAAGGAATAAGAGTTGTTTATTGCAAGTTCATTTTGCACATTGACAACAACAATGTAATGATATAAAACTATATGCTAACATGAAGTTCTACGTGTACGATCAACTTATTTAACCTATCTTTACTTAAATCTAATAACGTTGGTATACAGGATAAACGGTGTTTGTGCAATATAAGGATAGCAGATAAGAGGAACAAGGTAGCTGCTATTCTTATCTATTCTACTCTATTCTATTAAAATATTCTTGCCATGCCATTAGGGGGTTTGAGTTGAAATTCACTTCAGGGTATAATGCTTCAGGGGATGGTTTTACAGTCTTCGCCCACATGTCTCTACAGCCCCTGCTTCAGACATATCAGAACAACATATAGTTTGTAGATTAAACACGGCCATGAACCCCTGGCTACGAACACGTCCAGGAATAATCATGATGCACAGTAACTGTCTGCTATACTGTAAATCGTCACCGTATTTTAATAGTTGTTCTTCCACTCTGGTATTTTCAGGAGGCTCTCATTTGCAGGAGGCTCTCATTTGCTATGTGCAATCCAATAAAGCACAATTATGGAACTTCCTCGCTAACCTTGCAAATGCGTTATTCGTACACTTTCCATATTGATATGTATCAACAACTTGAATCATAAGTCACGTAATGCATTAAACATTCATTATCTATCATTATGCAATATACATTCAATGCGTTTAAGTTTAAAGTCACGAATAACAAATTAGATTGAACAGTTCTGTATAGAAGGGATGGAAGTCCCGACGATATCTGCCACTTTTGCCTGGACACAAAGGAGTGGCCAAGTTCCATTGCAGTACCAGGGGAAAAGGCTAGAGCTCCCAAACTTGCATCACGGCAATCCATCCACAGCCCATCTTACTGCACCAACACTGTAACAGATGATAAAGGCTTAACCAGGATGTTAAAGACCCACACCATTTACAAAGTAGCATCATTAGAATAGCTATCACGTCACCTTAACCCAGACCATTACATTACGGCACCATTCTTGCATGTTATGTCCTACAAATTGAGTTACCATCTGGTGTACTCATTTACAGTTTGACTGATCGAGCAAACAGCGTTAACTTGATATAAAAACTTTACTGTGAGGCGGTTCAGTGAATTTTATGGAAAAAAATGAAATGAAGTGAGCATAAAACAGTCCGTAGATATACCAAAGACTGATGTATCATCCGTTTTATTGGGCAGCATCACAAAGAACAGTTCTATCGGGACACGCAATGCTTGCATGCGTTACCATTATGGCAAACGAAGTGTGAATCGAATACGTGCACTTCCAAATTTCTCGCTTACATTCAGATGTAGATGCAGACATCTAACGTAAACAAACTGGATTATAAATCCACCCAGCATGGGTCTGTCTCTGAAACTTTGAGATATCAGATGTGTATAAAAGGATTTACTCACTCTCCAGGAGATTAATACAAGCATGCTTGTGTCGGGAGATAATGAACATCTGGTAAAACATCGGTACTTTAAATGTTTAATGAAGTCGTTAGCTTGTAATCCTGTACCAAGTGCAGTCTAATACTTTCCTACGGTTCACCAGCTTGCGATTAGGTGAAGCCATATACGCTCACAAGCACGTCCTTCATTTATCACTTTCTTGTCAAATTTTAGCAGACACTTTTCATATTTCATACAAAGCCAGCCAAGGGGCCAGGAATTCCTTTTAGAGTTTACTGATATCGTGCTGTATGTAGATTTGTGCTATCTAAGAATCTATTTATGTAACGATACGAACAGTTGCATCTATTGTTTAGTTTGACTAGAGACATTGAGCTTTGACTTTATCGACATCCTTAGCCAAATTGCCTGGTGTGAAAGGCACTACCATCTACATGTTTGAAATTGTAAATAAATGTAAATAGAAACATTGACTTTAAGCTAAAAATCCAAGACGCAGGTGAAGTGGACGTTTCGCGTAGTTAAGACTGAACCCCAATTGTCTACCTACGTCCGTCGTATTGGAAAATGTGTCCAAAGTTGATTTTCCAAAAGATAACGCTGCTCCATATGGTACGGCTGCCAGTGTCATTACCATTTCTGCAGGGCATTTGTCCAAACTAGAGGCAGCAATCCACTTTGCGGCACCATTCCGCTACAACTATCTGTGATTTACAATGTTAGACATAGGGCCGGGAAATGTGTTTCGCATAACTAGTTTTTTCTTTGTTGTAATTTCATTGTCATTATTTCAACCTGACGCCTGTACGTGTACCATCTGCTCAATTTCACCAGGACTTAAGAAGGGCAACACGCAAAGCCAAAGTCACTGGACTACTGTCGTGTGGATACAGGCTTAGTTATGGTAGAAGGGAAGAACCAATCGTAATAATGTATGTACTAGTTGGCCGCAGGTAAACTGACAGAGTTAGATCGATATGGCGATGTGCCCTCAGGTTGCCAGCTGTATGCTTCTAAAGTTAACGGCTGAATCTAGCACGAAGGGCAACTAAATCCGTGGTATTTTCGAATCTGAAGCCAAAGTCACTATGGCAAACCCGTTTTCTCTAGCGGAAAACAGCTTGGACCGTATAGGACTTACAGGTAAACGTTTGAAGAGCACAGATAATCTTTCTTTTGAAACATTGTTTCATCAATTATCTAACCATATCATTGTATTGTAGAAACAATAATCGAGAGACAACAGAATATAGTATATTACCTAGAATAAACCTAATAGAATGTCGTTGTGATCCCTCATCTTATATTTCATCAATTAAAAGGCCCGAATATGGTAATCATATTTTCCGTGGAGTTTGGAAAACGTGTGTGTGTGTGTGTGTGTGTGTGTGTGTGTGTGTGTGTGTGTGTGTGTGTGTGTGTGTGTGTGTGTGTGTGTGTGTGTGTGTGTGTGTTGTGCATGCTTAGAAATAATGATTACATTTTCTGACATTTAGATTCATGTAGCGTTCACACCTTTAGTTCGCAGCTGGTATTTCTTGATGACATCCATGGACCGATGAGGTTTGCGCGGACGAGGTTTATTGCAAATGTCAAACCCTACCTCTCATCAGCATGCACGGTATCCTTCCAACCCTGGGCTGAACCCGGAGTTAATTGGTATGAAGAGTGTTTTTGACACCTGACCAGAACCCGTGTTCCTACCTTCTCCACGGGCATTGATCTGAAACGAGAAAGGCCAGACTTTCCCCTTCCCAGAGCGTGTTACACTTAGATTACAAGGCGGGTCTGACTGGAGACAAACGCAAGAAGCACACCAATGATCCACCCTTAAAGCAGACGGCTTACCATATGGAATGTTTTACAGAGTAGACTTCAGTGGCAAAGCACGTAATAACGACCAGCTATAATGGAGGCTCGTGCATAAAATAAATACATCGGTGCAGATTTTTCCACTTCTGTTCGAATGACTATATTGCGGACTGTTTGTCAAAGCACTACAAATCTTTGGCAGAATTATTTTTCTATTTATAAAAAACAATTTTCTAGATAGGAAGTGATTTATAATTACGAAGTCTGAAACGTCTTCGAATTTTATGTGATCATATTCAACTCAACTACAGATAATAGCATGCTCTATACGCAAGGGAATACTTCAATAAGCACCATTAGTGTGTCATTATCTTAATAATAATCGTCACCGACGGTGTACATATGATATGATATCAATCATGATCATAGTATTTAATTTCAAAAACGTATGAACGGAAACTTACACGAAGAATAATAAAAAATACAAATACTTAAAAAATGCTGTTTGCTCGTAAGAAAGCTAAACATGAAAAGGTTTGTCAAAAACTTCAGGTCACCATAATGCTAATGTAACAGTAAAATAATTTTACTATGATATTGATCACCGTGCACGTGTCTGCGACAGCACGATCTACCATAAAAATCGTAGCAAAAGATAGAACAAAAACAAAGTTCTGCTGCAGTACCAAGGTCATCTACCAGGAGGCCCACAATTGACCTTGGCTTTCATCTTCCCAACGCCCCCCGCATACCAAATATCATCACAATCCATACAGGCATTCTTAAGTTAAGCTAACTGAAATATGTGGAGGCACACACACAGGTAGACAGACACAATACCTCAATTTGTCATGGAGGTAAAGATACAATGTGGTATGTACGGTAAAAATGTAGTATTCATTATTAGGGAAAAATGTAGTATATATTTTCGCGTTAAGTTTCCTTTTTAACTTATTGTTTCTGATTCCGTGACTTACACAGCTGCCAGCATTAGAATTACCATTAGAGGCTTTGAAATATTTCCCATTTGTATGATTGCGAGAAAAGTTGATCCCGGTATTTGCAAATAATCTTTTAATGATGATTTCTTTTCAATACCCCCATACAGTATGCACTTAAAGTAACGTCGTTGAAATCAAAAGATTTTCTACCAATGCTATAATGGAAAAAGTCTTATCATAATTGATCTTGTCCCTTTATGTCGTCGTCAGACATTGTACCAAGGTTGTAAGAAATGTCTATATGCTACATAAAAGTCCAAAATGCAGTAGAAGTGCATTCTACCTGCATGACAAAAATATTCAGGAATTCAAAACACGTCGAACTACATCGTATAGCCTCGACAAGCAAGCGATCTCTCTTTATATTGCAGGTCAGGATGTTCAGGTCAATACGCGTTTTGATGCATTTCCCATACAGTTTTGATTTACCTGCTACATGTAGGTAATAAAGTCCGCAGTGTCCTCAGACGGGTATCTCACATCTTAGGTTCAATGAAGTGCTTCGCTGCCCTACAGTTCTGTTCAGTTACTACTATCAAACACCAATACCTGCAATGTTATTAAAAAAGACTCATAGATAAAATAGCTATTTGCCATTCATATAATATTGCCATTAGTAGTAACATTGCCATTAAAATTAACACTGCGCACGCAAATGCAGGAGTATTTTATTATCCTTTACTGGTTTGGTAAAGTTGCCTGAGTGCCGAATTTGCACTACAAGAAGTTTAGCCGCAAGGACGTGTGAAAGGGGAAGTATTCCTATGGAAATAACACACCGTTTGATCTGTAACAAGAATGAATTATGCAGCTTATGATTGCGTTTGATGTTCGGTGTGGCATTTACGCTAACAGAGAAGGCCGTATCAATCGCCCGCCAGCCTTTCTCTCATGTGTGTCTAAAAACGTGAACAGCATGTTAGAAATGATCTTTGATGCAATGCAAAGTCGTCGCTATTGTCTGTGTACAATAAATCAAAGGCAACAGTTCGGTGACAAATTTCTGTGTGAAAACTATGAATATCGTTGACAGCGGGGATTGCCTCCAGAATGTTAATGAGTAGGTGGAGGAGGCGACGGATAGGCTAATGAACAGCGGAGATACATTTGAGCCGAGCCTGCAAACTTGAAAGGTATCAAGGCTTACGAGTGACGGTTATCCGAGTGTTTGTCAACATTTATACACACACACACACACACACACATTCACACTTACACACACAGATGTAGAGAGAATGTAAATGTGTATGTGTGCGTTTGTGTGTGTTTGTGTGGTGTGTGTTTGTATTTATCAGACACACCAATGCAATATCCATATGGTGCAACATAAATGCTCCAGTTGCCTTGAAAGTAAAGTAAACCTGAGGCCATGTTTAATCCGATACAGTAAAGTCTAATAATACGGAACAGTCTTTCGTAAATATTTATGACATTGAATGACTAAAGAAGGAAACAGCATATACTGTATATAGGTTGGATGGAACGATATTGTGTCATTGGCAGTCAATTTCTGGTATGTTAACCTGGCAAATCGGTCAAAGCTATAATTGCAAAATGTAAAAAAATGAGAAAACAAGGATTCGTGTCAACTTTAAGGCGTAGCGTAGGTTATACAATGTGATCCTATAGACAACACACAGTCTTGATGTTGGGAATAACTTGAACTATAGAAGCGTGTGAACTCTAATCATTGTAAGAAACATGTGGTTCTGTGCGTCATTGATCGATTTGCCTCGTGTTGGCTGCTTGTTGTAGATTCTTTGTACACATTTATTCTTCAGTCGCATTAAGTTCTTACATCACACGGAGACTACCTATCGGCTGCTATTTGATTCTGAATAGAAAGGGGTCAGTAACATTGCCCTTGCTGCGTGCGATCCGTGGTGACTTTAGTTATCATGTTCCGGTGAATACGTTGACTTGTGGCCGATTTTTCACGGGTTAAAACCTCGGGAATCAATTAGGTTGCGCAATAAGATGCGCAGATGCTGCAGAAAGTGAACTCTTGGCCTTAAATGCGTGCGGCGCCAGCAGTACGTCTGCAGTAGGCGAGGTGTTTCAGCCCGTGCGCGCCGGATACAACTACTGCTTCCTGTAGGTCCTACGGGATGGCGCTGCTCCTGTTGCTGCGGATCCCTCTGGTTTTATACCTCACCTCTGAAGGTAAGTGACGAAAGCTTCCCTAAACTCCAATCGGACGAGTTAAAAGAAGACGTGCGAAGTCCCAGGGCTCCAAACCAATCATCTCCGTTAACAAGATTGATTAAAGTCCTCTCTTTCGTATCGAGATGTCGATTAGTTTCGACCAATTTCCGCCTAAAGAATGTTAATCATGACGTTAAACGCGTTTTATTCATCAGTCTTATTTTGCGCGACGTCATCTTTACTTATACGGATGCGGGTCTCTTTGCCATAAATGGCTATTTTGTGCCTTTGAAATCTGAAATCCGTCTTATTGATTTCTGTTAGAGCCTTTTTGGAGTCCATCACAAAGCAATTCTTGCAAAATTGTTCCAAGTGCGACGTATCGTACTCTTTTAGATAAGATGATGCACTAAGAAAAACTCTTCAACTATGGCAATAACGCACTCCAGTTCTAAATGTTAGAATGTGATTACACATATATGTATATGCGGTGGTACATTTCAAGCACTGTAGAGTATGTGACATCTAGAACGCTGCTGTTAGATACATTTGAAAAAGAGGGTAATACAAAATTGAACGTCCAGGACGATGCTTTCTCATGCAATCCGTTTCACCATTACATGATGCCAAATCCATAGCGAACCGATGACATCAATAGGAACCGAATGGGATACCAGTGTAAGGTCGTTATCTACGTAGTAGGTAACATACGGTCATAAAATACGAACATACCAGAACATTGCCGGCTGACACTGGTAACCCTGTCACCGGACACTATGCTCATTAGAAATCACCCTACGTTACTTTGCTAAAGAAGTATATCTCACGGATGGGAAGTTACATAAGACGTTGTGTGGGTCGTTTTTTTTTCACCGCGTTGAAAATCATATCTGAGCTGGCATCTATTTGCGTGTAGCAGACCAAGATCTGCGTGACCCATATTCACAATGAGACTAATACATTGCCATATGGTGACTTTTATTGGGAGCTTGGGGAATGTGGGTGAAATATTCTGCTTTGGAGCAGAACAATGTAATATGCTTAAGAATTTCGTGCAATGAGAAGAACATATGGCTAACAACCACTGGGGGGGGGGGGGTTGGCGTACTGCACCAAAGATAGGTATGTCAATTTCGTCAAGTGAAACTTAAAAAGTCGTAATATTAGATATGCTGAGTCTTCCTTAAAGTTGCAGACATTTGCATTTCAAGTTTTTGAACATTCCGCTAGTGTGTGAAAATTCCGCGACAGTATTTTGGTAGAATGTGTGCTTTCCATATGTTAAATGATGAAATGCATGTAATTGGGAGTTTGTGTATGAACATATCCTAGCATATTGACGACAAAATATCTTCAACATGCCAGGCACGCTCCAATCTGCGCGCTATAGCCGGTTACAAAGCCTGCTTCTACGTGACCCTACTGGCATAGGCAGGGATAAAGGGCTCAGTTTTACGGAGCGGCTAAATCATAATTTTTCTATGGTTATAGCTTTTCCGATACTCCGATCTTCTGAGAGACTGCTAATACTTTTTATTAATGGCTAGGATTAACCAGCATTGGATATGTCTTACAAATATGACGTCACTTCATTTATCATACTGGAAAGGCCGCAAGATTTTGGACGATGATGACGCCCTTGTACTCAATCATACCTCGCCAATGTTAGTTATTGTTTGTTAGATTAACAGTAATAAATTCCTTTCTTATGCAGAATTATCTTTAAAGATCTACGCAACAAGTGTGCGACCAGCACAGCCAAGCCTTTCAGCAAGTAATAGATCAATTCGCAGGCTTAGAACTTTACTTCTTTTTATTATATTGGAATCGTTATCGACCTTACTGCTGCAGGCAAACAGGTACTTTCGCAAATTTACGGTCCACTACCCTCATGGTAGGTCAGCGGTTGCTATTTGCAAATTAGAAAGGATGGTGAGGAGTGCATGAATTCAAAATGATAAATGCAGT